AATCTCCAGGCTTAGAAGGAAGGTCCCTCCAAAGGCCAGATGCAGGGGAGGGGGATCAGGAGACAGGTCTCTTGTGGTCTCTCGTGTGCTCCCAGAGGCATCTGGTGGGGTCATTGTTGAGATACAGGGAGCTGGACTAGAGGGTCCCTTGGCCTGATCCAGCACAGGGCTCTTCTTAGGTTCTTATGTTCCTGTCACTGTGGCCACTCTGTCATCACTGCCCATGAACTGTGCCCTCATCCTGGAATGTGAGGAGTTTTATGAGGGGGACTTCACTAAGTACTTGATGAGATTGATCTCCTTAGGCTGGCCTCCATCCATCAAGTCATTTTATTCTTATCAGGGTTCCCCCCCCCCATTTATGTCCTGCATTTCCACAAATGAACTCAAGATGGCGTATGTGCCTTTCCCCCCTCTCCCTCATTATCTCCACCACACCCCTGCAAAGTAGGTCAAACTGTCCCAAGGGGTCCCGGCGATTTCGTTCATTCAGTGGAAACTCAAAGTTGGGTCTGCAGTGGCCTGGCCCATCCACTGTGTGACTACCCGGCTCATGAAAAGCACTGGCTGAAGTCCAGTGGTAAGGAACTGCTAGGTAACTCCGTGGTTTAAATTTCCGACCACGGAGCCAGAGGTTGGGGGGTTCGATTCCCCACTGTGCCTCCTTGACGGGAACTGGATTTAATGATCTATCCGGTCCGCCTCCTTGACAGGAGCTGGATTTAATGATCTATCCGGTCCCTTACAGCTCTGCAATTCTAAGACGACTCTAAGTAAGCAACTAGAGTCGGCCCATTGGAACCAATGGAACTTACAGAGGAGTTGACTCACCAAATCCTCTCTGGTTGTGTGGGCCTACTCTACTTATGACTTCCTTCTGGATTTCAACCACTGCGTCTCGGGCAATGTCTTGTAATCCTACTGAGCGATCACCAGGCTGTGTCCTCAGGGACTTACGAAGGCACTTCTAGGAATAAGGTGCACTGATGCCTCTAGAAAGCCAAAACCCAGAGGAGAGCCTGCCTGGTGGGATCCTGCGTGATTGATTGCTCTGATATTACTTCCTGCAAATCATCCTCTGCAGGGGCCAGTGGAGCTAGCCTCATCTTCTGTATCGGGGTGCCCAGGACCTTTGGTTACTCCCAAAGGAGTATACAGTTAAAGAGCATGTTTCCGCTTCTTGCACCCTTGCATGTGTCACATAGTCCACTTGTGCTTATCTGTGGTGGATACAGACTCTGCCAAGGTAAACTCTGAGGCTGATATGTATTTTTTTGCCTTCGACCAATAGGACCTGCAGGTTTTTTGTGGCAGAAACCTCCAAAACCTCTTTGAGCAGAGGGGGCAGTGGAAATATACATTTACATCCAAGCTAGAAAAATTTCTTTGGGGAACTACCGCTCCCAGCGACACCCACCGACCTTGTCCATTGGCCGAGATGGCCAGGAATTCTTGGGATTTATCATCCAAGCTTTGATGGGAAATGGAGCCACTTTGTCCTGCTCTTGCTCCATGGCTAATATTCTGGATTCTCTCCCCTTAGGGGCAGCTGGACTGCAGCCTCTTTATAAGTTGAGTCACTTGGCAGAGGCTTGAGTAGAGAGATAAGAGTTTCCTAGCACACTACACGAGGCTCCAAGCCTCTTTGAAGCCAGGCGGGGTTGGAGGCATTCGAAGAGGAAGGAGTAGGAAAGCGACGCCATGTGACAGCGCCACTGACCGTGAACAACAGCTGGCTGGCCTCAGACAAACCTCTGAATCTTCCAAGGGGACAAAGCGGCCGTGTTAATCCAGAGAGGCAAAGATTCTCAGGGATTCCGGGGTTGTGAGGCTCCCCCCACCAATGACTAGAAGACTGCTTTGCTTCTCAGCGCTGATGCCACAGGACATGACCTCTTATGTGCGCCCTCCGCCCCCACCAATGCCGTCTCCAGTTTGTGTGATTTGTATAGATGGAGAGGCAGCTTGTGAGACCGAAGGACCTTTTGCTGTACATTTGCAAGAGAAGCGTAGGCCAATACTCAGAGTTTGGACCCTCCAAAGGCAGAAACAATGGGTTTAAGCAACCTGGCAAGCATCCTTCAATCCATGGGCACCCAACGCCCGATGGAATAGACCCCCCCAGGACTGAAAAGTTTGTCTACTAGTAAGATTTAACATTTCAACCATAGGAACCTAGAATCAGAGAATCGTGAAGTTGGAAGGGGCCTCTAAGGCCATCAAGTCCAACCCCCTGCTCGATGCAGGAATCCAAATCAAACCAGATCTGCCAGGTGGTTGTCTAAGTTTTTCTTGAAGCCCTCCAGTGTTGGAGAACTCGCCACCTCTTAAGGCCCTCGGTTCCAGTGTTTTTCTTGAAGGCCTCCAGCGTTGGAGAACTCGCCACCTCCTGAGGTCCTGGGTTCCACTGTCTTACTGCTCAGAATAACGAATCTTGTGACACCTTCAAGATCAAACAAGTTTTATTTGGCATAAGCTTTTGCGGGCTCCGGCTGCCTTTGTCCAATGCGTGAGGCCTGCCAGGATCTGGAATCTAAGAAAACTTACTCCCAAGAAAACTTGCCTTTAAAGTGCCACAAGACTTTTTGTTTTAATGCGAAGGACTGACATCCCCAGAAACCTCAACGTTCCACAAACATTGGAGTCATTCTTATGACAAGTGTACAAATCAAGAGACCCTAACAACAACAACAACACAACGCTAACCGTGATCACCACCATGTCTACACCCCTGAAGGCTGGAGAAAAGGCTGTCGGTTGATACCACAATATTGACCTTTCATACTCACTCATCGTGAGGGTGCAAGGCACACTGAAAGCAAAAAAGGGGTGGGCGCAGATGGGTATATTTTCCACCATACACCAGTATTCTTCCATCTGCACCTCTTAAAATGGCAAGCAAACGCCATGCAATGTTCGGTGGCCAAGGGAGAGCCCCTTTTCCCTGGGTGGCTTCTGCTGAACATGCCAGAGCCTGGCTTGTGCCTCAGAGCCGCCTCAAGAGGGGACAAAATGGCGGGAGATCCCCTCCCACCCATGCACCGATGTGTGGGCACCGGCGGGTCCATCCCTCAGGGGATGTAGGAGGAGGAGGGGGGCAATCATCCAGCCTGAGTTAACGGAGAAACAAAGTGGCCCTCGTGAAATCAGAACCTGGGGGCTGGTGTGCGTGGATGCATGCATGGGAGGGACAGACCCGGGTGGGAGGAGACAAGACGGTGGGAGGGTAAAACCGCCTGTTTGCTCTCCTCCTTCTCAACCTTGCCTAGAAACCTTTCCTGTTTCCAGGATCCCACCACCACCACCACCACGGAGGACAGGCTGAGTCCCAAAATATGCTGTTTCTATGCTAGTTCTGCTCAGCCCTGGTTTTGAAAAAGAGCCCCCCCCCGCTCCCTCCCTCCCCCTCCCAGCAGATGGAAAACACTTCCCG